GGCTCAAGCGAGTCTCCTGCCTCTGCCTCCCAAGTAGCTAGGACCACAGGTGCCCACCACAGCACCTGGACATTTTTTTTTTTTGGTTGCAGCCATCATTGTTGTTTGGCGGGCTCGGGCTGGATTCGAACCTGCCCTTAGGTGTATGTGGCTGGCGCCCTACCCACTTGAGCCACAGGCGCCTTAGCTGGAGGAAAGGTCTCTTAATGTCCCATGTCACAGAGGAGAAAATTTGAATTACATGGATAACTACTGTGATTTTTTTTTTGGTGCTTAATGGGAACTGGGAGGACACAGATCTCACAGGCTCATACTAGGAGTTATCCTGTGGTGAGGAAACTCTGTTCAAGGGAAGAGGATCCATCTTCGCAGTCCCTGGCACTTGGGGTGTTAGGGAGGTTGTCACTAGGACTGTTTTGAGAGCTACCTCTGAATTCATGATTTAGCACAACTTTCTACAAACACAACGTCTGTGGTCAGGAGGGAGGGAATCATTCTCCCATCAGCCCCGGGGGTGTTGCAGGCCCTGGAATCTCTGCACAGAGGGCCCCAGGTGCCCCACCTCTCCAAATTGCTTCCTTATAGTGGAGCTTTCCAAACCACATCTAACCCTGACATACAGTGATTCTTCCTGGTGCTAGAGTCACCAGCTCTGTGTTAGGATTACCCCCACCCTAACCCATCCAAGGAGAGGTCAGCCTCTGGGGCAAACCTCCAGGAAATTGCCCTGGCCTCAACAAAGGGCCTTTGTGTGCCAGCCCCACCAGCTGCTCCCTCTGAAAGCCCTCAAGCATTCCCTGGTCCTGGCCCAGGTGATGAACACTTGCTGGCATAGACCTGATTTGCATAGTGCTCAGCTGCCCCCCTCTCCCTGACCTCAGCAGAGGGCTCAGGTGACCACAGACCCTGCTCTCCTGGAAGAAGAGGGATGCTGGGGAAGGGGCAGGTTTACTCCCAACCAGGAACCTAAAGGAATTCTGAGCTCCCCTTGACAGCCCTCCACACCCCTTCAGCCCTGGATCCTGTCCACTTTTCCTCTGCATAACCTCACCCTCTTCTCTCCTGAGCAGCTACAATAGCTTCCACTTTGTCCCTGTGCTCCTCACTTGCTCCTATGAAAGCTACTTCCCATATGAAAGGCAGAGGAATCTATGCAAAACAGAAATGGGATCAGGTTGGGGTAGCCTTACCCCAAACTGTCCACCACCTTCCCACTGCCCTTAGAATAAATCCCCAGGCCCCATAGCAGCCTAAAAGTACCGTAACTGGTTCCATAAGCAAAAATACACTAATTTAGGCTGGGCACAGTGACTCATGCCTGTAATCTGAGCACTTTGAGAGGCTGAGGCAAGTGGATTGCCTGAGCTCACGGTTTCAAGACCAACCTGAACAAGAGCAAGACCCCATCTGTAAAAGTAGCCAGGTACTGTGGCAGGTGCCTGTAGTCCCAGCTACTCAGGAGGCCAAGGCAAGAGAATCACTTAAGTCCAACAGTTGGAGGTTGCTGTGAGCTGTGATGCCAGGGCACTCTACCCAGGGCGACAAAGCAAGACTCTGTCTCAAAAACAAAAACAACAAAAAAACCCACATTAATTGTTCTGCAATTCTCATATGTTTCAAATTCCCAGGCCAGTAACATTTGCTGATCAGAACTTTGTAACTTTCTGTCACACTGATGTATTCCCTTTTGAGTTTCTTTTCCAGGAATGGCAGAACCTCCATGCAGCCACATAACTACAGAGCCTCACACCATCTGTTTAAAAGACAAGATGAGCAGTATGCCATCACAGATTATGCCCAAGGACCACTGGGCCTGTGCACCAGGCTCAAAGAATAAACAACATTAACCCCTAGTTCATTATGATATAAAAATTCCTGCCTCAGGAGGGACTTATTTACCATTTTTTGTTCATGGGATATATGTACTAGCATGATTCCTCATTGTGCTTTCTTTTCTTTTCTTTTTTTTTTTTTTTTAAGAGACAGAGTCTCACTTTGTTGCCCTCAGTAGAGTGTCATGGTGTCACACAGCTCACAGCAAACTCCAACTCCTTTGCTTAGGTGATTCTCTTGCCTCAGCCTCCCGAGTAGCTGGGACTACAGGGCCCTGCACCCAGCTATTTTTTTTGTTGTTGTTGTTGCAGTTTGGCCAAGGGTGGGTCTGAACCCGCCACCCTCGGTATATGGAGCCAGGGCCCTACCCACTAAACCACAGTGTGCCCCCTCACTGTAGCTTTCATGTGCTACATTCAACCTCAAACATATAATGATGTTCACTCCCCTTATGCATTATTCATTTTCACCCTCATAAAACCCCTGGACTTTTCTTTCTCTTTCTGTTTTTTTTTGAAACAGAGTCTCACTTTCTCCCCCTCCGTAGAGTGCAGTGGCATCACAGCTCACAGCAACCTCTAGCTCTTGGGCTTAAGCGATTCTCTTGCCTCAGCCTCCCAAGTAGCTGGGACTACAGGTGCC